GGGGGGGGGGGGGGGGATGTGCGGACGGACGATTTCAAAGCAGACCCCCATTCATTAGATAGAGAAGATTACCAAGATTTCGTGATCCGCTGCCGAACTTATTCCTTCCAATTCAAGGAGCATTCTCTACATTATGCCTTGAAGAGGACTCGAACCTCTACGCTCTTTAGCACGAGATTTTGAGTCTCACGTGTCTACCATTTCACCACCAAGGTATCTTTAAAGTGAATCATATTCCATGAATCAGGGGGATGCACCATTAATCCTCGAGATATTCATAATACGTTGAAAGATAGCTATGTATATGTTTTCAACGAAAAATTTTAGAAAATGATGCGATTTACGAATTAATCGTACATTTCTTTTTTTTAATATCTTTAAAAGATTTTTCGGAGATTCTAATATATCACTTATTTTGTTAGGACTAATATTTAGTTCTAGCTTTAAAATCGCGTTTTTCGTGTCTTTTCTAATTTTTTCAATTTGTTTTAGTATGGTGTTTGTTCTATCAGTCTGATCTTTGATCGTTGTTTCTATCAACGAAAAAGTTCTCCAATCCATAGATCGAATTATAATGGACGAGTCTTGGATCATTCGATTACGTATTATCAAATTTTTTTCTTTATTCAACTCGAATATTTCTTTCAATTCAACTACTCGAATTGGGTTTCTTTGTGAAAGGTTTTTTATGACCCGTTTTTTTGTTTCGTTTAATATATTTATAAACACGTTTAGTCTTTTTTTTAAACTCTTCGAGTCCTTTTTTTAATTTGTTTTTCAACTTTTGTTATTAAACCAGGTTCAAAAAACGAACCGTCTTTTCAGGGAGAACCATAAGGCATTTCATCTTCCTCTCCAAAAACTGTTAAAAAAGCAAAATCATTTTTTTTTTCGTTCTTTTTTATTGAATTTTTATTAGGTAACCTAAATATGTCACGCGTATAGCATCTTGAGTCTTTCCTCCCCTGGCACAGTAGCTCTTTTCTTTCAAAGACTGTAAACTCGACGAATTCATCTTTCTTGCTTTAGTCTTTCCTGACTGTTCCGGATAATGCATCGAAGCATAAAAGGTGGTTAAGATGTTTCTGAAGCAGTGGGCCCATCATAGGTGCATGCAATAGGATCGACATGTGGTCCAGGTGGTTAAGATGTTTCCGAATGCTTGTACTCTACTCCTTTTGTTCTATGAATCCTGACTGACTCTGAATGCTTGTACTCTACTCCTTTTGTTCTATGAATCCCAACTGACTCTGCTATGCAATAATAAATCCTCATACATAGGAGTGAAAAGACCAATACAGATAGATAGAAAGCCAATGCTTTTCTCCTCGGAGCCAACAAAATCTTTCTTTCTTCCCCGTACAAAGGTCTAACCTTCTTTCTTTTCTTCTTTAATTGAGGAAGTTCTTTCTTTTTGTCTCAGATAGGAGGATGATATAATATCTGAATTCATTCTCTTCTTATAATAGGAGTTCTTTACAGGGGGTGGCGTGGTAATCAATCTGCACCAAGACCATGACCGCTATAATGCACGTTATCAAGGCCACTTCATTCATTAGTAAGTCAAGCCGAAAGATTCATTCTCTTCTCTTTTACTCTCCTGCCTGTAAGAAAGAGTCATTATCAATCACTACTTCACTTTCTTTCAGAGGGCAATATGAATATTTTATTATGTTCTATCAACACACAAAAAGGGTTATACGATATATCTGGTGTGTGGAAGTCGGCCAACATTTGTATTGGCAAATAGGAGGTTTCCAAGTACATGCCCAAGTACTTATTACTTCTTGGGTTGTAATTGCTATCTTATTAGGTTCAGCCATTATAGCTGTTCGTAATCCACAAACCATTCCTACTGACGGTCAGAATTTCTTCGAATATGTCCTTGAATTCATTCGAGGCGTAAGCAAAACCCAAATTGGCGAAGAATATGGTCCGTGGGTTCCCTTTATTGGAACTATGTTTCTATTTATTTTTGTTTCGAATTGGTCAGGGGCTCTTTTACCTTGGAAAATCATACAGTTACCTCACGGAGAGTTAGCCGCACCCACAAATGATATAAATACTACTGTTGCTTTAGCTTTACTCATATCAGTAGCATATTTCTATGCGGGTCTTAGCAAAAAAGGATTAAGTTATTTCGGTAAATACATTCAANGAATTCATTCGAGACGTGAGCAAAACCCAAATTGGCGAAGAATATGGTCCGTGGGTTCCCTTTATTGGAACTATGTTTCTATTTATTTTTGTTTCGAATTGGTCAGGGGCTCTTTTACCTTGGAAAATCATACAGTTACCTCACGGAGAGTTAGCCGCACCCACAAATGATATAAATACTACTGTTGCTTTAGCTTTACTCACATCAGTAGCATATTTCTATGCGGGTCTTAGCAAAAAAGGATTAAGTTATTTCGGTAAATACATTCAACCAACTCCAATCCTTTTACCCATTAACATCTTAGAAGATTTCACAAAACCCTTATCACTTAATTTTCGACTTTTCGAAAATATATTAGCCGATGAATTAGTAGTTGTTGTTCTTGTTTCTTTAGTACCTTTAGTAGCTCCTATACCTGTTATGTTCCTTGGATTATTTACAAGTGGTATTCAAGCTCTTATTTTTGCAACTTTAGCTGCGGCTTATATAGGCGAATCCATGGAGGGTCATCATTGATTAGTTTTCGAAATAGTCTTTTTTTTTTAGCTTAGACCAAGGCAATGTATACATGGCTCAAGATAATCTAGGGAACATAAATATACCAATAGTTTTAAAATACGGAAGGTATATACTATCTAGGGAGTAAGAGTAATAGGAAAAAAAAGATTACGCTATTCTTCGGGAATTGTAAAAAAAGGAAAGAGATCTAAAAGATCTTTTTCCTCTCAACGATTGAACAAAAGAAAAAAATAATAAATTACATGAACTTAGATTAATCAAATATGGATATTTCTATGCAAGGATTCGGACTAATGAATTCGTCCATTTAGATTGATTGTCTACATGTGGGATAATTCTAAAAAAAAAAGGTTTACAAAAAACGAGAAAAAAGGATTGGTTAGGGTAGAGTGGAGTCTACTAGATGTATTGAATCGAATTGCTATAAGACAACCCTTGTGGATGTTTCGAAGAATGATTCTAGAACTAGAATTCGATGGAATCCAACATATGAATAATTGGTTTACCTTAGGGAAGAAACACATGTATATGTTATATTAGATATTAACTAGTTATATAAGAACTAAAGATATATCTAATCCGCCC